CAGGCTCAGAAATCAACATGCAATCATCCTGCGGCTCCTGCGAGGCACTGGGATCGTTTGGGTCATGGTGTTCGGGAGGGTGGGGATCAGGACGCTTAATCTGCACGAAGCACTCGGAGCAGATGGGTTGGTCGCAACATCTTGTCCTGTTCAAATATGGAGGGTAATATAAGAAACAGATTGGGCACTCGGATGCGTCCTTGTAAAGGAATGCCTCTACTGGCTGGCCGTTCACGTAGGGGTCTTTGGGCAACATGATCTCTTGGGGAGTCATGTCAGCTTGAGAATTGTTTTTGGAAGTGGTACTGAGGGCTGCAAGGGTCTTGGCACGGGTCCGGATGAAGGGATTGGACGAGGTTGTTTTACCGGCAGGCGAGCTTGGCGATGGGAGTGAGAACCCCCCGTATCCGGGCGAGAGACGTCCCGAAGTGTCAGAGGTGGCAGATTGAGAGCGACCAGTGATTGGGACCATAAGGCCATTGAGGTTCGAGTCGGAGGCTTTGGGACTAGCATACGCCGATGGTTTACTTTCCAATTCCGGGGGAACCTCATCTGCAGGAGGAATCGGCAAGCCGCGGACGGCGGCGACCAGCTGGTGTTCAGCCCATGAGTCGTTGTGGTCGTTGAGTCCTTTCCAGAAGGGCGCTATCCGACGTTCAATCTGCGGACGTTAGCCATGCGCCTGGAGTCAAACGGCGTTGGAACATACCATGAGCTGTCTGACAATTTGCTTGCTAAAGTCTTCTGTTCCAGTGTAGGTTCCCAATGTGACTAGATATCCTCCGTCGACGCCTTCTTCCCGCATGCTCCGCTCGCGTTCCTTTTCCCTCAATTCGCGCTCTTTGGCAAGCTTCCTAGCTTCGCGCTCGGCCTTGGTCTCGCGGCGCGTGTATCCTTCGGGAGCGTCTCTGCTGCTGGAGCCGGGGCGGATGCCGAGGAACGAGAGGTCGGGTCCGCTGCCACGGCCAGTGCGAGAAGAGTAGATGCGATCGCCAGAGGCGTGCGAAGAGTGAGAGGCGGCGGCGTGCGAAGCATCGCCAGCTCTGGAGTGGCCCGAGTGGCCTACAGCGGTCGTTGGACGACCCTCTCTGCTCGAGTTGTTGCCCATGGCGGAGGTAAAGGCAGCTGTAGCTGGGCGGAGCTACAGCAGGTCGGCGTGGTTGGGGGAGTGGTCGAGTTTCAACAGGTAAACATTCGATAGCTCGACTAAAGCGGGGGACCCAGGTCGATGGCTCGAGTGTCACCAGGACTGCGAGAGGGGGGAGTTGGTCATCCGCAGCGCATCGTGTGTGCGGTCGAATTGGCAGAGCGACCGGAGCTGGAGAGCGGTGGGTTGGACGGAAGTTTGGCAGGCAAGTAAGGTAGTTACGGTGAGAGGTTGGCGGGGAGGCAGGTGGAGGATGAGGGTGAGGCTTGTTGTGGACGGGCCGAGGACTACTGCACTGGCTCTGGATGGATGCGGGAGCGGGTGGGTGCGCTGGCTCCAGATGCGACTGCGGCCTCTGCTCTGCTGTGCCTCGTCGGATGTTTCTTTTGCGACAGGATTCGCGGGGCGTGCTTTTTGGAAAATAATGGTCGTTGGATGCGTGCGTCGTGTCTTGTCTTGTCTTGTCTTGTCTTGTCTGGGGTTGTGCGAGTCTGAAGCTGTGAAAGGCGCGCCGGGTCCGGCCTTGTTCCCGTGCTTGTGCCTTGATTGTTTTGTCGCTTTGCAGCGCCGCCCTACTTACAATCAAATCATCATTCAATCATCATCCCGGCTCCCGTCGCCCTTATTCAACTTCAGTTACGTCAGTCCGGGTGGCCTCACAACATCGCCCTCCGCTGCTCCCGCAACTCGACCCCATGATCACCTTCTCACGCGACTGCAACAAGTCTGGATTGTTGTTGTTCCGCGATCCCATGCCCAAAACTCCACACACCACCAGCGCCGTTTGCAATGTATCTATCGTATACACATAAAGCCGTCAACGCAGCGGCAGGTCCTTCCTGTCCGCGACTTCTGGCTCCGGACTCGCCGCTGGAGTTGGCCACGGAGCCTCTGCACCCACTTCCATGACCGCCTTCTTGGTCGCCCTTTGGTTGACGAAGCCCTTGGACGGCGAATCCCACGTATAGTCTACAAAAGATCCAAGACACTCCTGCACGCCTTCAGCAAGAATCTGGACAGCGTGCTTCCTGTTGCGACTCCACTCGTGAGCTCGCCGCCAGCGACCGGCGCGGTCGGCGATGCCTTGGCCGTCTTCCAACCCGTCCAGAATACTCCTCCACACCATCATTGTTTTTTCCAGCTCTGAGGCTTTGCTGACGCCGATGACGCTCACTCCCAGCTTCTTGCCGCCAACTTGCTCAATCGTTTCCCTGGTCAGCGGCACTCCGGAAGCAGGATCGCCAAGAGATCCAACAGGCGCACCCGTCTGCAGCCAAGTCTCGAGGGCGAAGCGGATTGCGAGGACCTCAAGCTTCTCCCCGTACCTGTCGCAAAAGTCGGAAGCGTCGCGGACGGCAGCGCGCAACTCTCTGCTAGCGGGATGGAAGTCACCCATGGATCCGACTGGCACACCCTCTCTCCGCAATAGACCCATGCCCAAAGGACTGGCATTTGGGACCACGTCGACACCCGCCTCCACTAGTCGCTGTATTCCCTTGGTTGCCAGTGTTGTGTTTTGCAAGGTGAAATTGGCGTAGTTTTGAACAATGTCCAGCGGCTCGCCAGTCTCACTAAGGACCCTTTCCGCAATCCGGCACAGCGTGTCCACCGGATAGCCAGATATACCCACGTACTTGACTGTACCCGTCTCGTCGCGAATCCGGCGCAATTCGCGAATCGCACCCAGTACCTCGTCCTCGCTCACGAATTCAACATCATGGCAATACACGGCATCCAGATATGGTGTCTTGAGCCGCTCGAGACTCCGTGCGACCGATGCGCGCACCCACTCCGGGCTGTAGTCGAATTCATCCGAGGAGACGCGACCAACCTTGGTGAGCAGGAAATATTCCTCGCGCGGAAAAGACGCGCGCACAAACGGCGTCGCAAGAGCAGCGCCCAGCAATGACTCGGAGGGACCGTAATAGGGCGAAGTGTCGAAAGCGCGGATTCCCAACTCGAGTGCGGACTGGACGAGGCCGGTAGTGTCAAGCGCGAAAGGATCCTTGTTGTACTGGTGGTTGAAGGTTGCGGTGCCGAATATGAGAGGCGGCAGGGTGGCCGACAGGGGCGTTTTTGCTTTTGCTGCTGGGGACATGATTTGAAATTTTGCGGATAATGCCGAGTAAGGCGACGGCAGGACTGAGGGTGGGCGAGGGCCAATGGGCGAGTGAGGCTGCAGAGGTAGGTTGGCGGCTGAAGTTTATTACCGCGACTCGAGGCACGATTGATGAGGCTCCCAGCAAAGAAGGTTCAAAGTGGTCGCGGGTGCAGAAGCAGGAACGCGTCCTGAGAGGCCGGGCGTTTGACGAAGGTGAGAGTAGGTATGTAGGTAATTGATTGCACACTGCACACTGGAGAGGGAAGACAGACCCTGAAAAGAAGAATGGCACAGGCAGGCGAGGCGGACGACGCGACAAAATTGCCCGTAGTCCGCCAACAGCCCAAGCCAGCGAGCCCAGACGTTCGGCCGATCGCGCTCAGGACTTCCTCCTTGACCTGACTGATCCGGACCAAGTCGTTGACGTGCTCGATTATTGCATGCCTGAAGATGAAATGTCGTGGCCGCGCTAACGCAGGAACGTCGCCATCTCCGACCGGCACCGACTTTGGTCGAGCTGGCCGCTCTGGCCCGCTTCCATGGCGCCTGTGATTGCTAACCCCCGACACGGCGCCTCCGATCGCCTACGACGCATCTGTCTTCCATCTTCCATCCTCCATCCACCTCCCCAGGTTCACCTCGGGTCCGACCGCCAAACCCTGATTGACGCGGCCATGGTTTGCACGACGCCAACGGCTTGCATGCGTGGCTCACTGGTCGGCTAGCATCAGAATGTCGTCGACCCCGTGTGGACTGTGGGTGCGGCGTTGGCCCAGACTGCTGCTGTTGGATTCTGAGTGTGATGCGCCGGTTCGGAGTCGGGATGGACCGGGTGCTGCGCAAACTTGGTGTTGTGGGGAGCGAACGTGTTGGCTGCGATGGCGGGATTGCGCAATGCGCAGTGTGAAGATCATGGCGGGCGGTACTGTTCCTGTCGCTGCATCTGCAGAAGGAAAACAGACAAGTGTGCTTGCAAGCTTCTGTCCCATAGCGCCCCAAGTCCAATTCGATCTCCATCATCATGCCATGAGAATACGCTCTTCCACTCGGCTCCGTCTCTTTCTCCGACTACCAGATCAGATATCCAGGCGGTCAGCCAGCGTGATCCGCAGCCAACCAACAAGGTATATGCCAGAGCAATGTATCGCAAGCTGCAATGCGCACAGCCTGCCTGCGTCATCTTGCAGTCCCGATCTATGGCGTCAGCAACACCCAACAGAGTGCCACCGCTTCTCAGCACCTCTGCGCCCATTTGTAAGCTCCCCGAGGTATCCAAGCCAAGCCAAGCCGGCTCTCTATCCACCAGCTGTTTAGCGGTGCTTGGTCGTCTTGTCTAGAGCGCCAGATGGCAGATCAGACGGATTTGACGAGTCTTCAGCGCAGATGTGATCTCGAGTAAGCTTTGCTGACTCCCCCACCGCTTGCTTGGTCTGTTGCTTGGTACTCTTGTCTGCCCCGTGGCGCCGTTGACGAGATCCGTCGCTATGTTTCGCGTATCGGCGCGCGAAGCCGGTTACACATTTATGCCTTGGTGATGCGCGAAGCTGCTAGGATGGTGGCTCTGATGGAACCAAATTACCCTTTTTCACTCGACAAAACTCCTTAATAGCCAAAATGTTTCCGCGCTACTCACGACCCACTTACAAGTCCACCTGTTTGCCGCAAAATGGCCCAGAAGAAGATTGACTCCTGCACTGCTTTTTAGTTTACGAGTATATTTTGCCTTGTGCGCATTTGCTTCACAGTCAACACGCGGGGTTGGTGTAGTTGGTTATCACGTCAGTCTAACAGAGAGTTTCTGAGTAGTCCGAAGCCTTGAAGAGCACTGAAGGTCGCGAGTTCAAGTCTCGCATCCCGTAATTTTTGCTTTTGGACCTTTCTCGGCGGAGAAGGTTTGGATCTGCTTTTTGTGGAATCCCACGATGAAAGAGACGCTACAGAAGTTCAGGGCAAGTAAGAGGTGTGTTTGGCTTGGGTGGTGGGTTGGGTTGTAGGTGTTGCGGCACCCCCTTTTTGACCCCTGGATGTGTTTGGGGTCGCTTCATTCATGAAGGACAGCTCTGACTACTTCATGCTCGGGATAGTTGCAATCCTTTCTCTTCATGATCTCGTATGGTGAAGTATCAAAGCTTTGGTTCTCTAAGTGCTGCCGCGATCTTTCAGATGCTTGAGCACTAACAAAGGTGGGGCGATGTGCTCGCTAGACAAGCGAGCGGCGAAGGAGTGAGGGCAGTTTGACAAGTGAAAAGATAAAGAAACATGCGAGGGATGAGTGGCTTTCTTGGTAGGGCGGTGCTTGGCTCCAATCAACGAATCGATGTTAAGATTGTGGTGGTGTTCACAAAGACGAAACATAATCATCACTTCGCCGTTGTTCAAGAATGCAAAAAGATTGATGTGGAGACGGTCGGATATGTAATTGTACGACGAAGGACCTCCTCACTTGCTGCACAGAGAACGGCCGAAATGGAAAAGTACTCCAGACCGATTAATGCGGTCCCTCTTTTTAGACGAGGGTGTGGCTGGCGAAATCAAGTTTTACATCTATCTCTCTTCGATAGTGGCTCATGGCGAGCTTCACGACCGCAGTCACAACTTTGGGCTTCCCTCCTCCTTCTCCGCCTTCAACCGCGCATCCCTCTCGCGCACCGCGCTCTTTAGCAACGCATACACCGTCTGCAACCGCGGCAGCTCGACACCCCTCTGGCGCGCAATCCGAATGGGCAGGCCGAGAATGACCTCCAACTCAAGCGGCTGACCACGCTCCCAATCAAGCAACATGCTCGGCTTGCCGCCCTTGTTGCGCTCGGTGCTCTTCAGAATGGTGTCCGGGGCAGCCAGCTTGTCAGGGAACGGGCGACCGAGGATGCGCGGCGCGGCGTCGTAAAGTTCGGCCATGATGCCGTGCAGATGGGCGCGCAGCTCCGCGTCCGTCACCATGTCAGCGTTGCCGCGGCCGCCGCTGAGAATCGCCGACGGGTTGAAGGCGGCGTTGATGAGCAGCTTGTGCCACCGCACCTGCTGCAGCGACACCTCGTCGTAGAACTCGGCGTCGCGCAGCCCGCCCAGGTCGTTGAATAGGTGCACGAGCTCGCGCACGCACGCGTCGCCGCGCTGCGAAAGTCGATGCCTTTCCTCTTGCTGATGCTGCGCCGATTCGTCGTCCACGCCCAGCCCGTCCGTGTACGCGCCCATGCTGATGCGCGTCCAGCGGTTCTGCCTCACCACGCCGTGCCGCACCTGCTCGGCGGAGATGACTGTGACGGCGGAGACGATGGGGTTGCGCGGGAACCGTTTGCGGTGCGCCTCTTCGATGCCGACGCCGTTTTGAATCAGCACAATGCACGTCGCGCCCGCGCCGACCACCGGCTCAATTGCCGCCGCGTCGTCCGTCACATCCGGGAGAGCCTTGGTCGTTACCATCACGTAGGACCAGCCCGACGGCGGTGTGGCGGCAGCCGCCTCGTCGATTGACGCATGTACTGCGTGTGGCGTAAAGTGGTAGTTGCCAAAGTTGCGAGTTTCGAGCTCAATTCCGGAGCGCGAAAGTGTGGGATAGTTTGAACGAGCAACTAGAGAGACATGAATGTTTTTGGATGGCTGAATCCATGTTTGTGTTAGACCGCTTTGTCGAGTGATGAAAGTTGGGCACACACGTGATGAAGTCGTGATGCGTAAAAGCAGCCTACCGCGCCGGCGCCGACAAAGAGTATGTGGATGGGTCTAGTATGGCAGTCAGCGTAGATCTTGAAAAAGTGGCAGGCAAGGTAGAGAGAATGCGCATCTTACTTTGAATCCGATCCTTCTGCTGATGCCATGATGGAGAAGGGGTATCAAAGAGAACGCAGGGCTGGCGTGAGCAACTCGAGAACGATACAAGAGGCTGGAACAAAGATCCTCATTCAAGTTTGAAGTAAAATGGGAAAATGCAAACCGAAGCGCCGCATCCTTTGGCTGACGATGCGGTTGAACGGTTGCAAGTGACAACGAGAGAGGCCATCACGTGGAGTGACGACTCTCGAACGGGACCTCGGGAGATGGTTCGGAGATGCTTTCTCATCATCCCGCTTTACCAGGCTTCAACCGGCAACCATCAGACCACACGTTGAAGCCCAAAGGCTAACTTAATTACTGAATTTTTTCCGTGCTATGCATAAATGGCATCTAGGATATATGGCCCAGCAAAGTCTCCCGCAAGTTTCCACCAAGCGCCGTTTTTTCCGTAAACCGTGAAGCTGATGACTACATTATCCAAAATTCCACCCAAAGATCCACAACCAATGCGCTTAGAGCTTGGGCTTCTCAAGACCCTGCCAGCCAGCAGCCTCGGCAACGAGCTCAGCGCAGCGCTCACCAATGCTCAGCACCGTAAGCATGGGGTTAATGGTGACCATCTCGGGGAAGACACCAGCGTCCGCGATGCGAAGGTTCTTAATGCCGCGGACGTTGAGCTGAGGGTCGACGACGGCAAGAGGGTCCTTGGTAACGTCGCCCATCTTGGTGGTACCGGCCGGGTGGTACACGGTGTGGTGGACGCGACGGCCGTACTCGCTAAGCTCCTCGTCCGTCTGGATCTTTGGGCCAGGGGCGACCTCGCGCTTGATCCAGGACCTGAAGGGCTCCTGCTCGGCAATCTGGCGAGCAGCCTTGAGGCCAGCAACAATCGTAGCGGCGTCGTAGCCCTCGGGGTCGGTAAAGTAGCGGAAGTCGAGCGCAGGCTTGACGTTGGGATCGGACGAAGTCAGGTAGAGACGGCCGCGAGAGCGGGGGCGGGGAATGTTGGGGGTCATGCAGAAGGCGTCAATGGGAGTGTCGTAGCCAAGACTGGTCACTGTCAGCTGTTGAAACCACACTAGTACAAAGGCAATTACCGGGCGGTGTTGTAAACAAAGGGAATCTGGTAGCAGTGGCACATAATGTCCGCAATGTCCTTGTCATCCCCATTGGCGTTGGGCACCTCGCGGCGGAGAAAGACGGCGGCGTCCGAGTCCATGGTGGTCTGGTCAGCGGGAACGGGCTTGTTGAGTTCCCACATGATGATACTCTCGGGGTGGTCGAGCAGGTTCTCGCCGACACCGGGAATGTCGCGGACGACATTGATTCCCAGGCTCTGGAGCTGGTCCTTGGGACCCAGACCAGAGAGCAGCATCAGACGAGGAGTGTCGACGGCACCGTTGCAGATGATGGTCTCGCGCTTGGCGCGAACGGTGCGCTTCTGGCCGTCAAAGAGGGTGATGTTGACGCCAGTAGCGCGGTCACCCTCAATGTTGATCTTGCTGACCCAGGCATTGGTCAAGATGGTCAGGTTGGGCTTCTTCTCTTCGCCGCGGAGAATGGGGTGGATGTAGGCAACAGAGGCACTGCTCCGGCGGCCATCGTCGGGGTTGTAGGCAACGGAAAGGAAACCAACACCCTGCTTGAGGTGGCCCTCACGCTTAATCTCGGCGTTGAAGTCTTGCAGGATGGGAATGTCAAGAGCCTTGGCGGAAGCAACAATCCAGTCCTTGCAAAGCTGGTTCCTGTGACGCTCGTGGACGGGCTGGACAGTGTTACGAAGGTTGTCCTGGCTCCAAGTTAGTTCATGACGTAGTACATTTCGACGCGGCACGTTACCAAAAGACGGTTGATGGTCTTGAAGTCCCATCCTTTGCAGCCCAGCTTCTGCCATCTTTGCATGTCATAGTCAAAGGTGCGAAAGGAAATCAAGGTGTTGTGGCTGGAGCAACCACCGAGGACCTTGGCGCGGGAGTGCCTAATGTGCGAATTGCCCATGGGCTGCTCAGTGGTGCCATAGTCGTAGTCAAACTCGCCGCCGAGGAGATTGAGCCATTCCTTGAGCAGGAGCACGCGGTCATCCTGGAAGTCGGAGGGACCGCCCTCGACCAGGAGAATCTTCTTGTCGGGCAGGTATTCGGCCAGGCGGCTAGCAACGACGCAGCCGGCAGTACCACCGCCGGCAATGACAAAGTCATAGTCGTTGACGGTGTGGGCGGGCAGCTTGGTGGTGGTAGACATTTTGGCGGGGCTACGACTATCAACGGAGACGACGAGGAAAAAGAGGGACGGTTGCGGTTAGGACAAAGACAAGAAACAAGGAAACTCGACGGGGAAAAGTCTCCTGAAGAATTTTCGGGACAGAGGACATGCAGGGCCCTCTGGGATGACCCTCGGAAACGCTATGGCAGCATCAGTGGTACGGCTACCCCACAGGCAGGCTGTCAGGCCCCGATGGCAGCGCAAAATGGCACCGGTATCAGTCGACGACAGGCGATCGTGGACGGAGTTGTCGGTGTGGTCCTGGGCGGATCAAAGCCCAAGCCGCGTGGTGGGGAGGATCGCGGGTCCCTTTGCCTGAAAAAGGTCAATGGAGCGCATCAATAACATACGCTAAAAACATAGTCACTGGATCCATCCGTCTCGCGTCGTCAAAAATTTCATGAACCACCTCCCATCGCGATCCCGCACACTTCACTGTCTGCATTGACGTTGTCGCCGTGGCTTCAGCGCTGCGGCCCACTTTTGCTGCGACTTCCGCCGCCCTCCGCCGCCGTGCTCTTACCACTCACCGTCATCGCTTTGTTGTCACCACCATCGTATCCATCACCACCGCCATGTCGCAACCCTACGGCGCCCGCCAGCTCTACTGGGACGGCAAAGTCCAGCCTGCCACCTCGGGCGAGACATTCGAGTCCATCGACCCGTCGACCGCCAAGCCCATTGCCACCGTTCATGCAGCCTCCCACGCCGACGTCGATTCAGCCGTCGCCAGCGCCCAAGCCGCCTTTCCCGGCTGGTCTTCCACTCCCGCCGCCCAGCGCGCTCGTATTCTGCAAAAGGCTGTCCAGCTGCTGCGGGAGCG